TGGCTTGCAGATGACTGCCTTCTTTCTGTGTCTTCACATGTTTTTTTTCCTCTGTGATCACATACCCCTAGTGTCTCTCCATATGTCCTAATCTCCTCTTCTTATATGGAACCAGTCAGACTGGATTAGGGCCCAAACTATCAGTCGCATTTTAACTTAATTACTTCATTGATGGCTCTATCTCCAAATACAGTCACATTCTGGGAGGTAGGGCTTCAATATAAAAATTTAGGGGTACATAATTCAGCCCATAATACCCTACCTCCATGTGTTTCTCACATGCAAAACTCATTTACCCTCATTACAATAGCCCAAAAGTCTCTTTATTTTTTTTTTAAGATTTATTTTTAAGTAATCTCTATACCCAACTGGGGGCTCAAATCTATAACCTCAAGATCAAGAGTCCTAGGCTCCTCTGATTGAGCCAACTGGGCATTCCCCAACAGCCCAAAAGTCTTAACTTATTTCAGCCTCAACTCTAAATTGCCAATCTTATCTAAATATTATCTAAGTCAAATGTGGACAAGACTCCAGGTATGATTCACCCCAAGGAAAAATTCCTCTCTAGATGTGAACCTGTTGAAACCAGACAAGTTATCTACTTCTAAAATACAATGGTGGGACAGGCACAGGGTATTCCAGAAGGGATCATAGGTCCCAAGCAAGTTCAAAACTTTGCAGGGCAAATTCCATTATATTTTAAGGCTTGAGATTAATCCTCTCTGGCTGGATGCTCTGTCCTCCAGGCCCAGGGGGGTGACAACTCCACCCTTCTGGCCCTAGGTGACAGCCTAGCCTATTGAAACCTAGGAGGTAGCCTTGCCCTCTGGAACAAAGGAGGGAGAGATAGCCTTTCCTCCTAGACCTGTGCCCTCTGGGTTGGTGGGATATATACTGTCTATAAGAAACTCATTATACATATAAAGACATAGATAGCTTAAAAGCAAATATATGGAAAAAGATATACCATACACTCACTAATCTAAAAAAAGCTAGAAGAGTTATGTTAATATCAGGCAGAGCACATTTCAACGCATGGAATACCACCAGATTTCAAGAGAGACATTATGTAATGATAAAAATCAATTCATCAAGAAGATATGATAATCATTAATATATATGCACTCAAAAACAGAGCTTCCGAATATATAAAGCAAAACCAGTAAATAAGACTTATAAATAAGCAAATCCAAATATTTAGTTGATATGGTAGCCAGTCTCTAAGAGGGGTAATGAAACAAAACAATTGCAGGAAATCTTCAGATAAAAGGTTAATTTCTATACGCCAGGTGGTTGCGGATTATAGGATTATGACTCAGGATGAGTCTGAAGAGTTCCTGACATCAACAGTCAGATTATTCAAAGCTACTGAATGGCACTGAGGAAACTGTCTTGGGTTGCCAAATAAATAATCAGCTAAGTATATAGTAAACATTCTCCATACATGTAGTATTCTGCTAGGCACTTTAGAAATAGAAGACATGATTCTGGCAGTGAAGGAACTTTCCTAGTTGGAGAAATAAGAATCTCAAATAAGAAATACAAACTAGTAAATTATGCAGAACTCACTAGGATTCACTCACTCATTTAAGTTACAGAGGAAATGGTATTTGTTGATGTGGGGCTAATGTTAAGATGAAAATTATATAGTTCATGTCTTCAATAGACAGAAAGCCTAGAATGGGAAGATAGATATGAAAACAAGTAAGTGTATCATAGGTACCACAAAGACTCTGAAGAGGGAGCAGCACATTCTGCCTGGGGTTTCAAGAAAGGATGCATAGAGGAAATGATGTCTGAGCTAAGCTTAAAAATGCAGATTCCTGGAGCACGTGGCATGGCTCAGCTGGTTAAATGTCTGACGTCAACTCAGATCATGATCTCATGGTTCGGGAGTTTGAGCCCTGCACAGAGCTCTCTGCTGTCAGTGCAGAGCTGGCTTCAGATCCTCTGTCCCCCCTTCTCTCTGTCCCTCCCCTGCCCTCTCTCTCTCTCTCTCCAAAAAATGAATAAACATAAAAAACCCCTCAGATTTCTATTTAGGTGCTGCCTAGGAAGACAAAGTGGGGAAAGGCACATTAGGCACAAGGATCAATATGAGCAAAAGGGCAGAAGTATATAAACTGTAAATAGTTTAAAATTAAGTGGCTGGCTATGCTTCAGAGCTAGGATGAGAAGAGGTGTGCATTTAATAAATAAGCCAAATGAAAGAAAGTCTTGTAGGACATGATAAGGAGTATGGAATTTACCCTGTCTTCTTCTGTCTCTTATTCATTCAACAAATATTTACTGAGCAGCTACTATTTGCTAGGCATCTTTCTTGCTATAGAGAAGTCTCCTGTCTTGTCCCCATGAGGGTGTTGCTGGGGGGAACATGGTACAGTGCAATACACTGGACACATAGAGTTGGATAACAAATGTCAGTTGCAGAAGACTCTACATCCCCCAAACAAAAATGTAAACAGAAGATATACATGTAAAATAAACCAATGGGCGTATCTGGCAGTGATTAGTGTCATATGTTTCTCGGGCTTCAAACACTAAAGTCAAACCTTGATCATAATATTTTCAGAGACAAATCATTTTGTAGTATTAGGGGTCATCTTTTTCAATAGCCTGCATTTTCCCCTTATATTCTTATTTGCAGTGAGGTAGAAGAAAATTGGTTGGTTTCTCCACTAATCTTTTTTTTTTTTGTTAACGTTTTACATATTTCTGAGAGAGAGAGAGAGATAGCGTGAGCAGGGGAGGGTCAGAGAGAGAGGGAGACACAGAATCTGAAAAAGGCTCCAGGCTCTGAGTTAGCTGTCGGCACAGAGTCTGATGCGGGGCTCGAACCCACAAACTGTGAGATCATGACCTGAGCTGAAGTCGGATGCTTAAATGACTGAGCCACCCAGGCACCCCTCCACCAATCTTACAGATGGTAGTGTTGGTTGCTGTATTCCTTTACAGACAACCTAAGTTCCCTGTTTCCCAGGTTTTCCAGGGAAGCCTGCTAAAGATAAAACTTCACACTCCTCAAGCAATAACTTCAGTGACTGGAGCACTTTCTCAGTCAAGAAGAAACATATTGACACAATTCATGAATGTGAGCAAAACTGTTTCGGTGATGACAGTAGCTTGATTGTAACACTATGTGTAATGGCAAGTCTATTAGTAAATTCCTGGTTTCATTCATTCAAAACTTTTTGAAAAATTCTTAGTTCAAAATTTTTGATTTTGGAGATATTTTTTCCCCCTTAGGAAGACTGATTTAAGTCCATTCAAGCATATTTGAAAAATGGAACTAAGTTAAAATAGTTTTTTCATTTCAAAGACAAACTGTTATACAAAGAAATAATTTAATGCCAATTAAACTTTGATACATCATTATGTCAGTGCTTTAAGAAGCATTGTTCTGTAAAATTTTGAAGTAAAAGTTTTTAAAATAAAAAAATTTAATGTTTGAGAGATACACACACAATGTGAGTGGAGGAGGGGCAGAGAGAGAGGGGGAGACGTAAAATCTGAAGCAGGCTCCAGGCTGAGAGCTGTTAGCACAGAGCCCGATGCAGGGCTCGAACTCACAAACTATGCGATCATGACCTGAGCTGAAGTCAGATGCTTAACTGACTGAGCCACACAGGAGCCCCTAAAGTAAAAGTTCTGAAAATTAACTAGCCATGCATTCTGCTTCCAGTGGGCTTTCAGCTCCATCTTCACTACATGGTTATTAATATCCATAGGAGCTGTTAGGAATCCAATTTCATTCTGTCCTTTGGATTTTTTTCTCTTTCAAGAAGATAGAAATTAAAATTTCTGTGGTAATGTGCTACACTTGAGAGGTAGGCCTTGCTTTTTTATACTCATTAAATACGTAAGGTAGGTAACTAATTAGGCTGTTAAATATGTGTACTATGAGGCAATATCCATACTGGGAAAACTAAGTACAGCTGTAAGACTCCAGTCTGCATTTCTTGATTTGTGGGTTGATATTGCTGTCTTTAACATTATACCATGGAAGGATCTGTATTTAACACAATTTTCCTTCATACATTATGAGTAAACAAATAGTGCTTAACAAATAGCAAGGATTTAGCTGGACAACAGCAGATAGCTTTGAAATTCTGGAGAATTTTAGTAAATTGACACCAGCAGTGCACTTAAGTCTCATTGCTGGTATGATCATAGCCTAGTTAGGGATATTGTAAACCCCATCTGTAAACTAGGAACAAAAGGAGCTTAGAGTTAATGTTTTATAAACTGTTCTCTTTCTATGTGTTTATTCAATTTTACTTTCCTTCACTTTCTAGTGATGTCTGATCTCCATAGCTATCTTCATTCATTTTTATGTTTCTTTTATTCAGTTTCTGGGTCCAGGCTAGCCTTTCTTTATTGAACAAAAAAAAATAAATAAATAAAATCACAATATGAATATAAGAGAATTACTGGATACTTACAGGCAACAGCAGGCGAAAATATAGCATGGGAAGCAACATAAACTAATTCATCTAATGGTTCTTTTACTTAAAAACTTAGTGTGTTGTAACCCACTGTTCCCTAGAGACAACTAAAGATAAATACTACTGACTTGTCAAGAATCCTTTACCCAAGTATCCTTAACTCAGATTTTCCTTCAGCGGCCATAATTATCAGTGGTCATCACTTCTATGAATTAACATATGGCAAGTTAGCAGACTGTCCTTAACCCTCTCCTTTCTGAGCAGCCCATTTTTGATACTTGAGCAAGTCACAATGAGGGAAGAATAAAGTGGTACTTCTTGCAAATGGTAATTCCTATTATCGTTGAAGAACAGATAATAAAATAATAAAGATAAATATAGATAAATATATAAATAAAGATAAGTAAATAATAAAGTTAAATAAAGATAATAAAAATTCTTTGCTAAGAATCATGAATCTGGACACTGAATTTCCTAAGGTAGCTCCTATTACATCAATCTAAATAGCAGCTGAATTTTAACAGGGTCTTGTCAAAGTTCAAGTAAGAGACTTACCTGTTCCTGGGTCATCTTCTGCAGCTCATTCTCCCAAGCTGCCTGGTCATCGTCCAAGTTATAGGAAGCTGGTGGAGTGAGTCCACGAAGGATCAGGGGGTCTCGGTCATGGCAGAGGGCTGTCAGGTGTCCAATATACAACTTTAATTTGCTTCTATTTTGGTCAAGTTCTAAGAGGGGCTGGATGATCTGAAGCAAAAAAATTGAGGAAAGTCAAGATCAATCTGAAACCAGAAGTTCAAATCTGAAACCAGAAGTTCAAATATTTTTATGTCTCCCAAGTCAAAGAAAACTGACCAAAGATTCAAGCTCCTCTAATCAGCACTGAAATCTTCAGGATTATACAAAGATACAGTTTCACACACTTGCACATTTACACTGTCGCACCCAACCAACCCCCCCCCCCCTCGCCCTCCTTCTGGGAGACAGGTAGAGAATGCTGGCTTACTCTACCAACAGAGAGAGTTCCGTATTTAGGCAGTGGATTAAACACAGGACTAACTTGTTTTTACACAGATGACATTCCTGATACAGAAAGACTCCAGTTACCTCATGATTTCTCTTCCCATTTATTTATGAGTGGTTACAAAAAAACATGCTATTTAAATTTGCTCACTGAAAGCCTGGACAACATACACCTCATGTGTTCCTTCACCTCCTGGAATGGAAGAAAAATTCTGTCTTTGGAGAAGGTACAAGTTTTTCTTGGCCATGAGATGTGATGAGTGAACTCATTACTAAATCTGCCTCATCCTGGCTTAAGTTCCCCTCATTCATTTCACAGAGGTATCCAATATTCTTTTTAAACAGTGATTGATAAATCCTTATATAACACCAAACACCTGACTCACAGCCAAGGACTCTCAGAAATTCTCTCAGTTGTAACACCAGTTTGATGTTTTCCTTGAAAAACAGTCCTGCACTTTTTTTTTCCTTTTCTCTCTCTTTTTTTAAAGCGTTCCCTTTACCCTGGATGAGTAACTATCCTCTTGGCTCCATTTGGAAGCACATGACAGATGACTTCTGCCCCAGAGCTTCATTTGACAGCTCTCAAGACAATACTCTAGTTGGGTATCTGGTAGTTGGTCAAAGCCTGGTGCATTTAGGAAGAGTTGGGTCAGATCTCACATCTCAGAACAATGAAATGTTAGAGCAGCACCTGCTTGATACATAGCAGCTGTGAGAGCTGCGAAGCTCCACCAAAATGCTGGCCATTCTCAAAATGTTCCCAGGGCTTACAAGGCAGAGGTCCGCACCTGCTGCATGTCACTAGGCTGGCATTTTTCATGCACAGGACACCTCTGACCCACCTAATGAATAAAGAAGCTCAATAATCTTCATTTACAGAAACAAGGACTGGGATTACTTTCAAATCGTTGTCACGATTTCTCCCTGGTCTCCTCAGAGGCCTGCTCCTGCTGCTTTCCTCTATTTCTCTTTAAGAGTTTAAATGAATAAAGTTTTAATATTTTTAATGAAACCAATAATTATTTTATTCTGAAAAGTACGGGGAAAAGTATAAAAGAAATAACAAAATAGGCTACAGGTATTCCCATTTGCAACGGTGGTGATTTTTTTCTCAGTCTTCTAATAAACGTATATAAATCGACTTTAACTGTATCACACTTCATATTTTGCTTGATACACTGTTTATTTAATGTTATAAACATTATGAGTACTATTCAAACATTACCTTTTCCTGGAAAAACGTGGTTTTTAACGGTGGCTTTATAAATATATCACATTTCCTCTGTTTCTAATATTACTCCCATGAAATAATTAAGAGAGGGAAGAGCCAGGGGCACCCAGATGGCTCAGTCCATTAAGCATCCAACTTTGGCTCAGGTCATGATCTCATGTTCATAAGTTTGAACCCAGCACTGGGCTCTGCACTGACAGTGTGGAGCCTGCTTGGGATTCTCTCTCTCTCCCTCTCTCTCTGCCCCTCCCCAACTTGTGCTCTCTTTTTCTCTCAAAATAAATAAATAAAAACTAAAAAAAAAATAAAGAGAGAGAGAGAGGGAAGAGTCAGGGCATAGTGGCTAAAACAATCTTTAGCTTACTAAAGAGATCAGAGTTCAGAGTGTAAGCCTATCTAGTATTACATATTATAGAAGTTGAAGCCTGGCTAAACAAGTCAGAGAAAGTAAATTAGCATTATTTTATTTTTTAAACTCATACACACAATTCTATAAGGATAAAGGTTAAACACTTAGGTGCTGGTGTGGAAGACTCTTGGGTTCTATAAGAGACTGCTAATGAGCAGGGTCATGGTACCAGTTTGTGCTGGCATTTCCTACCGATGATAAACATAGTAACACTGTCAATCACAGAAAGAAGGGGTTGTTTCAATGAAGCAGAGGATTTAGAAAGTGGGGAAGTTGGATAATTTTTCACTACCACCACCAATCTCTCAAAAAGAATTATATTTTATTCTGGCCATAAATGTATACTCACTGCAGAAAATTTTATAAAGAATTCTAAAGCATAATCTTTAAAAGCAATTTAAAAGCAGTATTCCCTTAAATGCATGCACACTTTGCATTTCAATAACTGTCTAATCATGGTAAAAGAACCATAACACACCACATTCCTACGGCCTCCATGCAATGTAGCCCTATTTCATTTGTTGTTGTTTGTTGTTTTAGCTTGGCCTGGTCTTTCATTGATAAAAAATTTTGGCGGGAGGGGAGGGGGAATTCACTTATGGGGATTTCCACTTATTCCCATTCTGTGTGTGTGAGTGTGTGAGACTATAGATGTTATCACATATGGGCTGCAAGGCTGAAAAAGCTGATATCTTAGGTAATTAATGTTTGAATAAGCAAACTGACATGAAAGAATATGACCACAGAGGAAGGAGACAAAGTGATAAATGGTAGTAATGGAAAAGTCAAATTTCTGATAGTAAATGGCATTTAGAAAAATACTGTTTCACTACTATATGACTTGATACAAAAAAATTTATTCTTCAGGCCTTGTTCTTAAAGATAAATTTAAAATGATTTAAATGCATTTCATGTTGAAGTGCTAACTGATTAAAAAACATGACAGTTTTTTGCACTCCATAATTCTTCAAAGTCCAAATTGAAAGTTAAAAAATGATGGAATTTGAAATTCTTTCCAGGATAAAAACTCATTCCATGCAATAGCCCACATGTCTGTCCTTTCTTCCCATGGCAAAGGGAATTGCTTTAAAAAGACAAAACAAAACAAACCCACAGAGCTTACTATGTGAAAGCCTAGGAAACAGCCCAACTAGCACAGTTCTCAAATCTACCCTCTAAAAAAAATCACTTTGGCCTCTCTGGGACACATTTAACCACGTCAATCATGTGGGAAATGCCCTTATCTCTTCCTTTCCCCTCTATCTGACTTAGGCAGGCCACTTAGAAATTGCATTTCCCACAAGGTAGAACTGCCACTGCCTAATCTCAAGAGGGAAGAGGGACACTTGTCAAGTAGAATGAGGATGCCTTACAGGATCTGTAAGTTATGTCTTTTGTCCACATACAACCTCAGTACACTGGTGAGAAGTCCTAATAAAAACTATCAGAAATGTAGTCAGGCCTAAAGCTTAGTTCCATAGCTATGCAGAAAAACAGTTATATACCTTTTCTGCCAAAAAGAAGTTAAAAAATGAACTTATCTAGATAATTTCTGCTTGTATCAGATGTAATGCCAAAAGGCAATGTTCCCCTAATCCTTATTTACCAAAAATTGTTAAGGAAAAGAATTTAAATTACAAAAAGGGATAAGATGTTTTTGGTTTACCTACTGATAGCTTTGTTTCTTCTCAAAAGGATTTATTTGCTTATGTACAAGATTCTCAAACTGACTTCAGAGGCCAGCATTCGATGACATAAGGTGACAGAGGACAGTGATCTTCTAAGGTATTTATTTTAACCTCCTTTCCACTTAAGTGAGATTAGATGGGTGAAGGTCTTTTGGAAAACAGACGAATTGCTCCTGTATTGTTCAATGTAGATTATAACTGAAAATTCCACTTTTCCATTTCTGCAACCCATTTATCTATGATATCTGAACACATTTTCTTAGACCATTTGACTCTTCAATATCAGAATGGAATGTGCAGAGTGAAAGACTTTTAACCAGTACATTATTTAGCCTGCTTTTCTCTTCCTCCTCTACTGTCTGTTTGTCAGACACTTACTCTAAGTATGGGTTAGTTCGTTGTAACACATTCTAGGCTGGTTTTATTTAAAATTTTTTTTAATTTACTTATTTATTTTGAGAGAGGGTATGAGAACATGAGCTGGAGAGGAACAAAAGGAGAGAAGAGAGAGAATCTCAAGCAGGCTCTGCACTGCCAGTGTGGAGCCCGATGGCAGGGCTTAAACCCACAAATTGTGAGATCATGACCTGAGCTGAAATCAAGAGTCAGAGCTTAACCAACTGAGCCACCCAGACACCCACCCTAGGTACTCAGTTTAAAAAGCAATAGTGTACCTTCATCATAAAGGCTGAATGAATAGGTACTGATTATTATTTAGAACTTAAATTTTGGGGTAACTAATATTTTGTTGTTGGGAAGATACCATTATTTATTATTTATTTACATTATAGTAGTCTTCATACCCAGTGTGGAGCCCAACGCAGGACTGAACTCATGACTCTGCGGATCAGTACCTGAGCCGAGATCAAGAGCTGGATGGTTAACCAACTGAGCCACCTAGGCACCCTAAGAAGATGCCATTTTAAAAAAATATTTTATTTTATTTTTGAGAGAGAGAGAGAGTGAGTGAGCATGGGTTGGGAAGGGACAGAAGGAAAACGAGAGAGAGAGAATCTCAAGCAGGCTCCATGCCCAGTACAAGCCCAATGTGGGGCTTTGATATCATGACCATAAGATCATGACCTGAGCCAAAATCAAAGCCACCCAGACATCCCAAGAAGATGCCATTTTTAAAAAATGTTTGTTTATTTTTGAGAGAGAGCAAGCAAGTAGGGGGGAGGGGCAGAGAGAAAGGGAGACAGAAAATCTGAAGCGGGCTCTGCACTGATGGCAGAGAGCCCAATGTGGGGCTTGAACTCAAGAACCATGAGATTATGACCTATCTAAGCTGAAGTCAGATGCTTAACTGACCGAGCCACCCAGATGCTCTGAAGATGCCATTTTTAAAAAAGCTAACATTTATTGATCATTTACTGTGTTCCTGGCAAACTAT